CGTGGCAGGGGGGGGTGTGTGGGTGTGTGTGTGTGTGTGTGTGTGTGTGTGTGTGTGTGTGTGTGTGTGTGTGTGTGTGTGTGTGAGAAACACAAAACAAACAAAAAATGTTTTATGTCAGTAGTTTAAAATACCAAATGCCTTGCACTATTACTAAATATCGGTTATTGGATTGGCATCAGCCGACATAGTTGGTTAATCATTGGCCATTGTTATTGGCCAAGAAAATCTTTATCAGTGTACCCCTAATTATTATGCAATAGCCAGCAAGACCAAACTATTAAAGTTGAAGGGCAGCGTTTCCAAATCCAAATCCTAAAATTAGGCTTCAGACTAAGTTCAGGCTCCTGAAAACCACCCTGGTTCGGGGGGTGGGGGGTAGTTTTGGTTTGATTTTTTTTTTTTTTTTTTTTTTAAACAGGCACTAAGAATTTTCCACTACAATCACCAAATAATCCCAGTCAAAATAATCCACAAGTGGTAGTCCTGCACCTCCCAACACCTCTAAAAATGTGCCACTTTTGTTTAGAAACCTAACATGGCTTGAGGACCCCAAGTCTGAGAACACACACTTGAAAATGTTGGCCATGACATTTATCACAGAATATAAAAGGCTAAGTATAAAGGTGGGGGGCAAACAGAATAAGAGAGGCTCTCCCTACTGCTTTAGAACCTATGGGTGGCTGTACACATACAGGATGCCTGCTCCGATGCATTCTAATTCTAACATGTTGGAGCAGATTCAATTAATCTAATTAAAATGCTTCAGCAACCTCACCATCACATGTATTCAGCATCCGCATGTTTCAAAATGGCAGCAGTTTCAAAAGCTTTAGTTAAAGTGCCCCTGCTACCACTTTGAAGAGTGGCATGCTAAATACACAAGGCACTGAGGGCATTTTAATTAGAGCAGCTCTCAAAGCCAGTCTAATTAAAATACCCTCCTACCCTTTCCCTCCCAGAGCATGTGTATAGATGCCCTATGAGTTTTCAAGTGCACTGTTGGCTGTGGAGAAAGATCAAAACAAATGGCTGAATGTTGAGACTGTCCATCGTAACCTAACTGGACCCTAATTAGGTTATGATGGACAGGCTCTACATTCAAGAGCCAATGCCAGAATATGCACACCAATGATCTAAAAGGTCTTTGTACATTTCAAATGCCATAATTACAAGCAATGTAAAAACAATGTAATGGACAGTCTCAACATTATGGGATTTTCTTTATTGGATTTCGCAGGATGCAGTCATTGCAAATGGTTCCTCATTAGTCACAAATGCAACCTAATGAGACTTCCTACTCTGATTATAGCTGGCATTTTGTTTGGAGGACAGCAAATAGATCATACTATTTTCAGGGGGGAAATGACTTGGATAAGGATGCATTGTTTTGATTAATGTTCACTGAATAATTTTATGAGGTTATTCAGTAATTCTATATCCAACTTCCTATTAGCAAAATAAAGGGTGCCTAATTTTACCTCTCCTGAGATAGTCAGAAGTATATTAAAAAAAAAATGTCAGATCATACTACAGACTGAACTACTGAAAAATACAGAACTCAGACATGCTGAGAAATCAAGAACAGTCATTGCTAAAAATAACCCACCCTATTCTTTAAAAAAAAATTAAAGACAAAAATAGAAACAATTTACTCAAAGCTTTATTGACATTCCTATTCTAGTAGGCCAGTAAAATGAATTCCAATAGACATGCAGGCTGCTGCATCATTAGCAAGCAACATGAACTCAGTATCAGCCATGGATAATTTGTTTCAGTCGATCTATACACTGTTACTGAGACTTCATGTAATTTCAAGTATAAAATTGAAAGTATACATTATGATGAGGTTCTACTAGATCAGAGATTCACAAACTTTTTATTATTGCATACCCTCTTCTAGATTTACGAGCTGCCCATGTATCCCTACCACCATTTTATTTTAGCCCCTTAAATGCCAATTATTAGAATAATGAAAATTAAATCTGCAATTACACAATTTCTCCCATGTACCCCTCAGAGATGTCTTGCATACCCCCAGGGGTACACACACCACAGTTTGGGAACCCCTGTATTGGATCATGACAGGTACTTACACATCATGAAAATGAACCATTTTCAAGACAAAGTATGATTAATTCTAGTGTTAGTAAGATAACTTGTTAAGTTGTTTTATGACTGTCCTTATGAGGTATATCTAATTTATAGTTTACCATGTGAAATCTGAAATTTCCTAAGCACTGTTCAATTATTACATTTTAATGTCCACGCAAGGCCAAAAGAAAAAGCAGTATTACACTGCAATAAACTTGAAAGCTTGTCTAAATCTATCCCAACCAAGCAGTTGATCCAACAGAACAGGGGTGGGCAAAATGCAGCCTGGGGGCCGGATGCGGCCCACCAGGCCATTCTATCTGACCTGCGGGGCCCCAAAAAATTTAGAAAATTAATATTTATCTGCCCCTGGCTGCCTGTCATGCAGCCCTCGATGGCTTGCCAAAACTCAGTAAGCAGCCCTCCGCCCAAAATAATTGCCCACCCCTGCAACAGAAAATATCACCCACAGAAATTCAGTGTTCACATAAAGTACATATTTGCACACCAGTGATTTGAAAGTTCTTCGTACATTTTAAATTCCATAATTACAAGCAATGTAAAATCAATTACAACATAAAACTAACATATGCATCTTTCCAGATAATTAGCAGTAGCATATTCACAGTATACAAGTCTACTGTAAAGTATACTTAAAATATAGTCACAGTAATATACTTTAAGAAATACTGTAGGTAGCAATGCAGAATTCAAAGAGAAAATTGTAAAGAAACTGCAGATCTGTCTGTAATTCTTTTTCATTTTAACTCTACTATGTGGCACGGGTGGCAAGTTTAATTTCATTTTACTATGTCTTTTCCATGTTAAACACTTTCACTGTTTCCACGATGTATGTAAAGAAATGCATAACACTACATAATGCTGCACATGTATGTCCAAGGTGTTAGGCATTTTTAACAATATAGCCATGTACTGCATCGTTAGAGAGAGCTTAGCAATTACACATTTAAGACTCTATTGTTATACACATGAATAGAAGAATAATGCTGATATCTCCTGTTCTGAGGATTATAGACAGAGCCTTGACTCTGCAAACAGTTGTGCATGTGCTTAATTTTAAGCCTATAAGCAATCACATTCACATGCTGAAATTCAAATGCTATCAAAAAATATACATGTATTTTCTATTAGCACAAGGAACACCGAAACAAGTATACATGTTAGAGTGATATTTTTTCCAGTTTATTCACATTTCATATATACTTACACATTTTCCACAGTGCCTGGGTTTTACCAAGTTTTGTCAACTTAACTGCACCCTCATAGAGTTCTGACACTTTTGCAAGGGAGTGAAAAGCAGGAGGAGGAAAATGTATAATCACAAACAAATGCTATTTTTTAAATAATTTTCAAGATAATGGTGTCTATTTATAATTACATTCATGTGTGTTTTTATAAATTATGATTTGTAAAAATTATTTATCATATTGATATTGATATGTATAGCTTCCAAACTGACTGAGATATTTAAGTGACTCTTTGTTAGGTCAGTTCTAACACTCTTAGTAAATATATGTATCCAGAGTAAGTGACATTACTCTAAAAGGTAAAAACATTTTTTCAGTTTGTTGCAAGCAACAGGAAACACTCTTACCGGGTAGGTACGGGGACTTCTGTCAGAGCACCCAGCATAACTGCTTGCTGCAGCCGAACGAAGGCAATGAAAGGGCTTTCCAAAAAGTCTACCTCACCAACCAACACATTGGAAGCCTCAGCATCCCGGGGCAATTTCTTCATAAATTTATTCTTCAGCTGCATTGGTAAGAGGGGAAGGGGAAAAAAATTTAATAGGCAAAAAATACAATTAAACATATCCAATTTTACCTCCAAATCATCCAGTCTTGAAACATCAACCTGAATCTATCAATGACATGTCTCATCAGTCAATATCAATTCTAGCCATATAATTCATTGGCATATAGATGAACATGCTGCTGGTTTCTGTAGTACTACCCGATCACAATTGTGTAGCAAATGTTAAGACATGGTGGAGGGAATTCCCATAACGGTTGTATCTGCCCAATCCCTCCTTCCTTCCTCACAGCCCCTCTTCCCTCAAAAAGCCTGATATTTCTGAAATAGCAATTCTAACAGTCAAGTTCAGAGCCAAGACCCCAATAAAATGAAAGAGGTCAGTTCATGCCTGTTGGAGATATTGTTTCTCACCAGGCATAGTGGTTTGAGATATCATTAACTCTGCGGACTGGCCCCGGATTGCATCAGGTCACCATCAAGATCTCTTTGCAACCATAAAATCTAGCAGCTCTTGGAAAAATGAAATGGTAAGTTCTTCAGAGTCTCGTTGGGTTACCAGGGAAATAACTGCATAGTATAATGGCCCATTCCTGTCCCTTCCCCTTTCCCTTCTAAGGGAAGAAACAAAGTCACCATCAACCTTGGGGATAAACAGATTGAATTCCAGAGTTGGGAAGGTGTGAGGGAGGCAGAGGTAAACCAGGCAGGGGGAATTTATGTACTCTTATGGAAGGCCAAGAACCTTCCTCTAGAGGCAAGCCAACTTGGTGGCATTAAAGAAAGGGGTGACTATAAAGGATGGAGAACCAGAAATCTGCTTGCAGTTTCAGAGAAGCATCAAAGCTTTCTAAGTACTTATCCAAGCCCCGATCTTACAGTATGACAGGGCCAGCTGCAATAATCCCTTTGAGCAGAACTCTTGGGCAGCCAGCCTTCAGAAGGTACAAATTGCAAGGCAAGGACAAAAACTAATAGAAAAAAGTGCAGCAACTGTTCCATCACAGTGTAAGCAAACACACCTTCCATAAACTCATGGAATTTAGAAAATTAAATCTAAGATTGTTGGCGTGTAGATATGATAAAATAAATTGCCATTATTTCAGAAGTGTCCATAACCATTATATCTAAAAGGCTTCAGGAATTATGCAAAGCTTGTTATTCTTCCCCATCCTTATACTAGTACTGCATACCCATTGTTCCCCATATCCCCGCCAGATTATTTGTGTGTGTAAATAAAGCCCAAACCCTGTGAAAGCTGCAGCTAAAATGGTTAGCATTATTTTAGCAATGTAACTCAAATATCACCAATTCTTTTCTAACCAAGTAAAACATGCACTGTTTTTTAATCAAGCTTGTGTTTTGCCCCACTGGAGCAACAGTTCTTGATGGATTTAATTTCCTTAGCTTCCATTACACAACACCTCTCTCTCTCTCTCTCAAAAAGAAACTGCAGAAATTTTGCAGGGAAGTTCCAAGTTAAATAAATGCATTATTAAAATAAGCACTTTGACTGCTGACAGACATGGGAAAAAAAAACAAAACAGCACTTTACTGGAAGAGGAAGCATGGCATGTTAGTTTGACCCAGCTCCCCAGCATCCGTATAGATTGGGCACTTTAGCAGAGTTTTTTGGCACTTTTATCTAATAGCTGATTCAATCAGCTATTAGATAAAAGCTATTAGATAAAAACTTTTAGACGCTGACCTGATTCAATCAGGTAGTAGATAAAAGTGCCAAAAAGTCCCAGCAAAGCACCCTATCTATACAGACGTTGGGTGAGCTGGGTCAAACTAACATGATGCCTCTTCTGGGCATGCACTGTACTCGGCAGGGGGGCACACCAAGCTTAAAGCACTGGGTTATTTTGGAGGGGGGTTTCAATGTCTGTAAGCAGCTTGTGCTTAAAGCAACTATTAACACCACTCTACCATATTCTTAGCTGTTGAGAACCACTGGAGTTTCACTGACTCAGAGAGGCAGACTTCGATGGAGTTGTCTCAATTTCCATTAATAGAGGATCTGACTCCATTGATCCGTAGAGGCTCTGGAGCACATGACAACAGCATGCTTTAAAATGTATATACTGGAACACAAAGGCACAGGACAAACCTGAGGCTTATGCTACTTCCCAAAACAAAACCACTGTTAGACTCATACTTGAGATTTTCTTACACTACAGCAACACTAGAAGAGCATGGGAATTATCCAACACACTTGGCTAAAGTAGTCAAGGAAAGTTACCCCTCGTTAAATTATAGTTAGTATTTCAATTTTGGAGAATCTGCTCTCTTAGGTTGGGTTGGGGAGAGGTAGACAGCAACAGTCTGTCAGTGAACAAAAGCACAGCAGCAGGCTTGGCAGTGCCAAACTGACCAGCACTACAAATGAAAGGGATCGGGGGTAGTAATAGACCACAGTATGAATATGAGCTGGCAGTGCAACGCTATATCCAGCAAGGCAAATAAAACTCCGGCATGCATCAACTGATGTATCTCCAGCAAAACCAAGGTAGTGATTCTCCCGGTCTACTCAGCACTGCTGAGACCGCAGCTGGAGTACTGTGTCCAGTTCTAGACGCTGCACTTTACTGAGAACACGGTAAAGCTTGAGAGTCCAGAGAAGAGCCACCTGTATGATCAGAGACTTGCACAGCAAGCCATGCAAGGAAAGGTGGAGGGACCCTGGGATTCTTCAGCCTGAAAAAGCGGAGGCTGAGAGGGGACTTGGTAGCAGTTTACCGCTACATCAGGGGAATACATAAAGGGCTTGGTGAGCAACTGTTCACCAGGGCACCCTTGGGGAAAACCAGGAGTAATGGCCGCAAGCTCCTGGAAGAACGTTTCAGGTTCAACATTAGGAAAAACTTCTTCACAGTTAGTGTCCAGGCTGTGGAATAAGCTCCCTCTGGAGGTGGTACAATCACCTGCCCTGGAAATCTTGAAGAAGAGACTGGACAGTCACCTTGCTGGGGTCACCTGACCCCAGTTATCTTTCCTGCCTGGTGCAGGGGGCTGGACCTGATGATCTTCTGAGGTTCCTTCAAGCCCCTTACAATCTATCAATCTAATCTATTCTCTGCATGCTGGCTCTAAGAAGGCTCCAACCAAAATAAAGCTACTACTGGCTGGAGAAGAGATGGCTGCTTCCCCAGACCCTTGCGTATATGACATCCCTTTCTCCTCAGCACACGGTGTCACCTGTAAGAGACATCAACCATGCCTGAAGCAAAACAGGGTGTAGAGGTTTTAAAGCAATAGCTCTCTAGTTAAATGGTATCTAAGGTCTAATACTGAGCTCATCGCCCTTGTGTCTGTGCACCAGAAGGCCTGTCCTAGACAGCTTTGTCCTGACCAGCCAACTGCCAGTGTTATGTGTCTTCCCAGAAAATACAGCTACAGCTTTGAAGTAAAAATAGTTCCCTAGAAGCTGGATGTTATCCTTCTAATCCCCAGCACCTTTATACAGTAATCGCAGCACTCTAGACATAAGCATACTCACATGGCAATAAAATGAGCATTGTCCTCATGACAAAGTATTAGGGAGTAATCTAAGCAAGGCAGTAAATGCAATCAATTGTTTCCGATTTCTGAAGTGGGGAAATGATGTAGCAAAAGCCTAATTCAAGGTAAAAAAGAAAGGAAAAGAAAACCTTCTCTTGGCTGTTTTCCAACACCTTCTTGCCTTTAGAGAGCAGTGAGCATACGTTTTGGTTTTGGCTTGCTGTGCTTCCCTAGTGTGAAGTCTCCTGAAAGGCCAGGTCAGTTTTCATGTTGCTGCCTCTACTGCTGCTCTGCTTAGGCAGAGGGTTGTTTCAGGTCCTGGCTGGAGGTAAATTAAAGAAAAACAGAAGAGAAAGCCATCCTAGTGGTACAACCTATGCAGTGGCTCTGGCCCCAGTTTGGCACCAAACAAATTCTTCTGTAGTTTGGGTGGGATTTTCAAAAATGCTCTATATCTGCGATGTCCATAGCAGATTTAAGGTTAATATGATCAATAATAAAGTGCTCACCTAAAACAGTAAGAAACTAAGGGTGAAATCTTATTTCCATTAACTTTATATAAGCCAGGATTTCACACACAATATCTAGGAGTGAGGAGGGGGAAGGGATCCAGGACTTCTTTTCAGGATGTTTGGACAAGACGGTATGATTTTGCCAAGCAGCCTGGAAGATGAGACAGGGGCTGCATCAACAAAATTCATGCTAAGCTTTGCTGAGCAGGAGCTTAAGTGTTTTGCTGAACAGGAAGCAAGTTAAGTGCATACTTAAGTGCTCTGTCAAGCCAAGATGAGGGAGCTCAGGGACTATTTCATGGACTGGCACACGGCTATGTCCAGGTGATGCATTAGGGGGATCAAGTACTTTTGGACCACCTGAAGGCAAACATTTATCATTCCTGCCCTTCCAGGGAGGACAAAGGGCTTTGGAGTGAAACCACCAGATTAAGGAATCTAGAGAACAATTCTCCGTTCTACTATAATTTCCTGTACAAGTCTCTCTTTCTCTCTCTGTCTCATTTCCCTATCAGCAAAACACACATAGCAATGCTTCTTTTCTCCTGAACTGTCTTCTCTAAACCTGGAAGATAAAAAAAACCACAGTGCCTAGCACACACGAACACTGGCCTTAGCCAAGGCCTCCAAGGGCTACTGTGATACAGACAACACCCAACCGTGACAGTGATGTCCCTGAGGCCACTAATCAAAGTCTAGTTAAAAGCACAATGGGACCTGATGTGCAATCCCAACAATTGTACCTCCTCCCATATCACATGTGCATGGCAGGAGGCATGATTGTAGGTTCAAGGATCAGATTGTAATCGTGCCCTACTGCCAGGTGCCCAGTGCCCCTATGGCTCAGAGTGCCAGTCAACTGATCTGCACTCCTAGCTTCAGCTCTGGTAGGCTACCATGGCTGGGGATGCCGATCAGCTGAACGGCACTCTCAAC